TAAAATCTTCACTATAGCCTTATAGTGAAGTTGAGATCTAAGACATAGAGTTCGTTATAACAAGAGTTGACTGTATAGCTAATTTCATATCAAGAAAAAGCTGATCTTCTTACCAAGATTATCGTCAAGTCTCCATACCTTCAGTTTAGTAGTAAAACATGGCAAACTGCCAGTCAGCTTGTTATTAGCTAGTAATTAAATCCACTCCTAACTATGTTTCAGCCCACACTCTTTTCCACTTGTTTGCTATTTGATAAAAAAAAAATATATATATTATTTATAAAAATAACAAAAAAAATATATATATACACACTTTATTTCTAAATAATATAAAAAAATATTAAACGTTAATAAAGTTTGTCACTAAAATAGTTTTTTTTTTAGTCTTGTAAATATGAATTGTTGATTGTCATAGAAAGAAAAGAAGCTCAAAACTTTTGATATGTAATATATATAAGTAGCTGATATTTATGAAGATCATTTTATATGCATATATGATATCGATCTATAGAAAATTTTTTTGTTTGATATAAACAAAAATAATAAAAATATTATTTGTTTAAACATAACAAAGTATTACAAAAATTTTTTCGTTAAGGGTTGTATGAGAAAATTATCCATACTTAGGGTTTGAATAGACTATTAAATCTTGAAAAAACCTCTATTTGAAGTATGATTTAATTTGATCACATTGTAATAAAACATTGATCCTTGAAAAATAATCTATCATCTCATCAAAATGGTTGATAGTATCATATATCTATCGACATAATCCTCTACCTTTAACTAATACATTATATATTGAATTAAATTTATATATAAAAATTTAGAATAGCTATTAGATTATTCATAAAGTTTATCAGATCAATAGATTTTTTTTAAGCCATAAAATTGATTGATTGATTAATTCTCTTTATTTAAAAGAATTATCTTCATCTTCAATAAACTGAGAAAATTTTATAAGAGGAATTTCAATATTATTTAAAACTGATAAAAATACTTTTTCTGATTTTTTAAAATATACGTTTCTCTTTTTTATTTGATTTAGTGAAAATTTTCAAATTTTTGGAAATTTAGATGATAAAGTTACTGATGTTGATGATTTAGAAACTATTCTGAATCAGATCATGGCAGATGAATTTAACACTTTATTAGAAGATAATTTACTATATATTTCCTCTTATTACTTTGAAACTTCAAAAGACTAATCTTTTATTTATGTTAGATATCTCAAGACTCCAATTAAAATGTATAATAAATATAGTTAAGGAAATTATATAACAGTAGATTTATTAGAATCTAAACAAGAATTTATCAAACGCATTTTTCATTATCAAAGAAAGCAAAAAATAAGGATGATGATAAGAAGGATAAGAATGATAGCAGTAATGATGATGATGAAAGTTTATAAAATAGAAAAGGTTCAACAATGAAAGGTAATGAGAGATAATTATAGATAATTCAATAATTTATCAAATAAACCCATCATTAATGATGATAAATTACTTTAAAAAATAATAATTAAAAAGGATTTGCTTTTTTTTTTTATTAAATTAATAATTATTAAACTATCAAATTAGTTATCTTTTTTCATATTTAGTTTTAATAAATTCCTTATATTTTTCTTCAATTTTATTTGAGAATTCTAATTATTATTCTATAATTGAATTCAATATTTTATTAATCTCCAGATCTTGTTTAATTTTCAATAAATTCTAAATATTTTTATTCATTTTATAACAGTAAATTTAACACTAATAATGTATTTTCTACAAATATTTGCTTTATTTATTATAATTAATAAATATAATTAAAGTTAAATATCAAAAGTTAGCTAACAAATTTAATATAAATTTATTAACATATATAATTTTATATCTTTTAATAAATTACTAAATTTTAATATAATTAAAATATTCACAAATTAGCTTTTATTATAACTTTTTATTTGAATTGATTTATTAATAGATTAGTAAATTAAATACTATTTTTTATACATTTATAGATAATGAAAAAATTATAATATAGAATATATTTTATCATTTATAATATACTTTTTTACTATAATTCAATTTATTTTTTTACAATTTAAAATTAGATTTCAATAATGAAGAGAAAAAGAATATAAATACAGTCAACGACCAAAATTATGCAGACATTTTTTGATTTGTCAAAATTAGGCAGATTGATCGTTACGTGATTACATAATTAAAATAATACGTCATTTTTTACTTATGACGATAAACAATATCCTAAATCTTTTCCTCTT